CAAAGTTAAGAGAAAGAGCACATCGGGCACATGTCAACTATTGGGAAGATCACTTGTGTCTTGGTCATCAAAGAAGCAAAATAATGTAGCACTTTAATTTCAACCGCCAAAGCAGAGTATATTTCGGCCAGTAGTTGTTATGCCTAATTACTTTGGATGAAGGCTACTTTGAGTGACTTTGGAATTAAATTCAAACAAGTGCCATTGCTATGTGACAATGAGAGTGCCATGAAGCTCACCAACAACCCAGTTCAACATTCAAGAATAAAGTACATAGATGTTTGCCATCATTTCATAAGAGATCACCAACAAAAAGGGGACATTTGCATTGAGAGTGTGGGCACCGAAGATTAACTTGCCGGTATATTCACCAAGCCACTTGATGAGAAAAGGTTTTGCAAGCTAAGGAATGAATTGAACATACTTGAGTTCTCAAATATGTGTTAATGCACCCCCATTATATGGCATGCCTCTCCTTCGAGCAAAGCAAGGTAAAGTTGATTGACATGTCATTCATCCTTTGTTAAGGACTTGTCTAGTGCATCTAGTCATTCCTCACATGTCTTAGGCTTAGTCATGAAAATCAAATGAATTTGATGCTTGTATGGTACCACAATTGCTTCTATGTTTGAAATGATCTAGTGGTAGCATATGACATGTTTGTGGGCTTGTGAACCTAGTGTTTAATCTCTAAAATGAGCTATAATTGTTTAACTCAACATGGTCAAGATAACCCTTGAAATGAGGTGTGAAGAAGCTTGCCCTTGGATCAAATCGAGTTAAATATCTTTTGCAAGTGATATAGATTGAACCAAATATGGGAAAATGATCCTCACTTTGGTTTTACCCCTACCTATCTAAAAATTTGAGCTCACCTATTGTGGTCATCGATGACAAAGGGGGAGAAGTTATTCACAAAGAAAGGGGGAGAGAAGAAACCCAAAGATAGTAAGATAGGTGAAAGTAAGGGGATCAATTAAAATTTGAAGCACACAAATAGGGGGAGCAAGCTCATAAACTTGTATGTTGCATTTGTATGTCCATTACATATGTTTGCTTGCATGGCACAAGTTTTTAAATTCAACTATCCTTGCTTGTGTGGTGTATGATAGATGGTAAAAATGATTGATGTAATGAAAACTAGAATGCATAGGATAGCTATACACTTGAATTGGTTTTACAAGTGGTCCTAGAGCCTTATTTCTAATGTTGATCTCACGAGGTATCTAGTGTGTTTTATTTTCAAGTGGTATCTAGCAAACCATGGTGCTAAGGATGGTGTTCAAATGGCAACTCCGATTGGTATCACGCTTCAAAGGTCCATTCTTTACACCTTAGCATCATTTGGTAGACATTACTTCCCCACACTTCCTATTCCATGCATATGTGCAAGCTTTCAAATCCAAACTCTTAGCACATATGTAGGGGGAGCTAATGCTACCAAATTGGGTTTATGAAACTTGTCCATAACCTTTACACATGGTAATATGCTTGGGCAAGCAACATCAATCCAAGAAAACTTTCATTGAATATCTTTGTGAAGGGTTGTCATCAATTACCAAAAAGGGTGAGATTGAAAGCCCTAGTTTGGTTTTGGATAATTGATGAAACCCTAGGACTAATCCTTGTACTAAGTGTGTAGACATGAAAGGATGGTCCTATGCCAAGTGGTGGAGCTAGATGAGGTCCATGGAGATGAAGATGGACATGTGATGATGGTGATCAAGCTCCAATTTGGAAAAGAAGCAAGAGAAAAACAAAAACCAAGGAGATCAAGGCAAAGGTATAAGATAGGTTTTTATTTTAGTAATTGAGACACTATAGTGAGTGTGATCACATTTAGGATCGATAGTCGTACTATAAAGAGGGGAAATCTTTGGCTAAGCGGTTATCGAGTGCCACTAGGTGACATGATTCTTGCATATACATTTAGGAACCTAGTGTGCTAACTTTGACCCTTGAAAATGCTTTGGAAAATGCTGACACACGTGCACACAAGTTCTACACTTTGTGGTTAGCAAGCCAGAAGCAAGGGTGAAGCGGTTGAGGAGTTAGAAAAAGAAAAGGAGGAGTTAGGGTAGGATCGGACGCAGGCTTCGGGGTGGACCTGTGCGTCCAGTGCCTTACCCTAGGTCTCAATCAGTGGCGCTGCACTGACCGGACACTGGGATCAGACTCGGAGTCCAGTCTGTGGTGAGTAGTGCGCCAGTGCCTTACCCTAGAGAAGAAGCAGCACGCGATGGTGAGCAGACATTGGCGGCAGTGCGCGACCGGACTCTAGCGTCAGCATCTCAAGCACGCGCAGTAGAGCAGAGTGAGGATCGGACGTTGAGGCGCGTCAAGTCGATGTTGACCGGACGTGTCCGGTCAGTAAATTTCATCTCTGGACCCTTGCTAGACTCAACCAGACTCTGCGTTGCCCTGAGTCCGATCTCTTTGAGCTATGCATCCGGTCTGACTTTAACTGCGTGAGTGAAATGTTTTGACTGTTGAGATCGGGTGGCTCAGTTTCAAAGGCACGACATGTGGATGGCCGAGGGCGATTGGACGCTGGCCGACTGGACGCTAGGGTGCGTCCGGTCAGCCCAAGAGCTTCCAACGGCTCTTTGAGTTTTGGGGCTCTATAAATAGGAAGGTACCGGTCTGGGGCTCACTCTCTTGGCACTTTGACATACTCAATATCCTTGTGAGCCTAAGCAAACACCTCCCACTCATCTCCATCGTTGATTCATCATCATAGTGAGATTGGTAGTGATTCTAAGTGCATTTGCTTGAGTGATTGCAACTAGTGGCACTTGGGGATCATTGTGGTTGCGGATTTTCTTGTTACTCTTAGTGGTTACCGCCACCTAGACGTCTTTGAGCAACGGAGGACCTTCGACATGTGTTGTTGATTGTTCATGGCCGGCTCCGGTGATTGTGAGGGGTCTTGTACCTTTCCCAGCGGAGAGCCAAAAGGTAACTCTAGTGGATTGCTCGTGTCATTGAGTTACCTCACTTGTGGATAGGTTCTTATGGTGTCCATTTGTTGGACGAGGTTCGCACAACACCTCTTAGCCACCGAACCACTAAGTGTTGGTCGACACAATGGGGACTAGCGTGCCGGCAAGCACATGAACCTCAGGAGAAAAATCTTGTCTCTCTTGTGTGATTGAATTTCTCTTGGTGATTGACTGGCTTCATCTTGTGATTGATTCATTCCTCGACATGGTGGTATAATCACCCTACTCACTCCATTATTTTTTTGCAAACTAGTTGTAGCAAGCTCTTTAGTGTAGCTAGTTTTGAGAGCTTACTTTGTAGCTTAGTTTTATCTAGTGGAGCTCTTTAGTGTAGCCTTGTTGAGAGCTCTTAGTGAGTAGTGACTTAGCCTCTTCTGTGCTTAGAGATCATAGCAACTAGAATTGTTGGGTAGGTGGCTTGCAACCCTTATAGAGATAGAGCAAGTTTGCATTTTGCCATTTAGTTTACTAACAAATTGCTCTAGTGGATTTGTAGAGTTTTTAAATAGGCTGTTCACCCCCCTCTAGCCATATTAGGACCTTTCAGGCGGGCCTCTTAGGAAAATAGATTTTTGTAGGTGGTTAGTTTTAGACCGCCTCCGTAAATCTATTTTGCGAGGTCGTCGGGGTGCGGAGCCAAGTGCTTAGCGTGCGCCGAGGAGGCCAGTCGTGCGCGTCGCCGTTGTCATCCCGCGCAGGCCGCTGGAGCCGCCCCGCTCGCGCTGCAGTTGTCGCCCCATGCGCACCAGAGAGCTGGCCACCGGCTCCGCCCCCGCACACATCGCCGTTGCTGCCCCGCTCGCACCAGAGCTGACCACCGCCTCCACCATGTGCGCGCCGGCTGGCGCCTTTGCCTCGCATGCGACGGCCGCTACCTCCGCCCCGAGAGAGAGGTTTCAATTCTGGGCTGCTGCTGAGGGAGGGAGAGATAAGTGCCACCGAGGGAGATACGAGTGAGGCAGAGAGTTTATTTAGGGTTTCATCTCTTTATATAGCGTGACGTGATTTCTAGGCTGAATGGGCTTCCTAGTGGGCTCAGCCATATTAACCGAGACGGACCTTTTAAGCGGCCCGCCTCTGAAAATGGCCTCCATTTTCAGAACTGGACCTCTTATGAGGCCTGTCTTCGTAAATCCATTTTAGGAGGCGGGCATTTCCCGACCGCTTCTATTAATCGATTTTGTGACGTAGTCATTTTTGGGTGCATCTGTAAATAAAACGACCGCCTCCCTTAATCGTCGGGCATTTTACGAGGCGGTTGAATTTTGTTACCGCCTCGGTCAATAAAAGGGCACCGCCTCGCAAAATCATCTGTGTAGTAGTGAGATGGAACAAGTTACATGTCTCCAGCTAAATCTTATAAATTATATAATAAAAACTAAAGATGCCATTCCACCATGGCTTGAAAGTGTTTAATGATATCTTCATCGCTTACACGTCGGAAAATGTCACGCTCAATAAATATGACCAAACAATCATTTAAGTATTCATCACCATCTTATTCTGAAGTTTGGTCTTCACATAGTTCATTGCTGAAAATACCCACTCAACACTTGCAGTATCCACAAGAAGGATGAGGATCAATTTCAGCTACAAATAAACAAGTTTAAAGCGATTATGCTTCTTTGTATCAACAAGTCTGATAGAAAACTGGATTAAAAAAACAAGTTTGATAGAGAGCTCATTAAGATTCTTCACTTGTCGAAACCTTTCTAGGCCCAACAACAACCTAATTTCTCAAACTAGAACTATTGATTGTTGAACTAATATGATTGATAACAGAACAAGACTGAATTTTACAATGTATTATACTATACAAGGCATGAAAGAGTATATATACTTGGTATTTTTCTAGTAATATTTGGGGTACACCCCCAAATCCCCAATGCACCTATTATGTGCATCCGTCCCTGTGTTTTTCATGTAGTGTAAACCAGATACAAAATATGAAATTATCAATACACTATATTTTATCGTTTATCTAGGGACTAGTAGCTATCAACCTCTGCTGATGCTGCAATTGCGCAAGAAAGTCACCTTCGTTTGCTTCAACCTTAGTAGCGAATCATGCATGTTGCTTCGTTCGTCCGGGGCCTCGACAACACAAGATAAGGCCACTTCCATCATGGGTATTAACAGGCAGTTCAGTAGCAGCTGCTTGGTGTCACTTTCCTGCAACCTTTCTAAGGAGGCATCATCAATTGCAGTGCTGATGAGTCGCTTGTCAATTACTTCGTGAGCTCGACGGGGGAAATTATCTCGCACCCATTTTATGAGATTCATTTCCCCTCCAAAGTTCTGTTCGAGAGGGCTCTTGCCAGTGATCATCTCGAGGAGCATTACGCCGTAGCTGTAGGCATCACCTCTTGTGGATGGTTTACTCCCATATCCATATTCTGAATGACACAAGTTTAGGGTTGAAATATAAACACAATGAGTACTACTGGTTGCAATATGCACAATATAGTAAACACTGAAGTAGAAGAACTAGTGTATGAGTGCCAACCAGGTGGAATGTATCCAATGGAGCCCTTGAGTCCATGAATACTGGAAACTGATTGTTGTTCTGGTTGCACTGGAGCTAATAACCGGGCCAAACCAAAGTCACTCACTTTTGCAACCATATCTCCATCCAGCAGCACATTGCTAGGTTTGATGTCACAGTGCACCACCTGTCCCCCACAGTCATTGTGCATGTACTCCAGCGCGCTGGCAGCATCAATGGCTACGTTGAGCACCTCTTCAGCACTGAGCCCAGTCCCATCCTCATGGCGTTTACGCTGGTGGATCCAGTCCTCCAGGCTTCCATTGCTCATTAGCTCATAAACCACAGCGCGGAAGTCGTTGCCGGCAAAATCGGCACTTGCACAAACTGTGACCAGCTTGATGAGGTTACGGTGCCTGACATTTCTGAGAGTCTCACACTCTGCAACCCAGCTCTTCGGTGCTCCCACCTTGGATTGGTCTAGTACTTTGATGGCCACTGGTGTTCCATCATGTAGTACAGCTTTGTAGACCAAACCAAAGCTACCAACACCGATGAGGTTTGCTTGGTCAAAGTTGTTGGTCACACGAAATAGCTCTTCATATGAAATAAGTGGGTGATTTGCTATGATGTTAACACCGCTGTGTGTCGCTCCTGCCTTTGCCTTTGGTAAAAATCTCCGGGACCAGCTCAACATAACAATAACCAATACAAGGATGGAAACTGCAGCTACTACTGATGCAGCAACCACCACAGTCACTATGTGCTTCTTTCGACTTTGGGAGGAATATTGCGAATGGTAGCATGCTAAACTTGAGTAGCAAAGGTTTGGGTTTCCGTAGAGGTAAACAATGGAGTGGTTCTCGAAGATTCCACTGCTTGGAACCAACCCATTTAGGTCATTCATCGAAAGGTTTAATAGTTGAAGAGGCAGCTTCGCTAGGCTTTCAGGTATGGTACCAGTTAAATTGTTGTCTGAAAGGTCTAGGCTTTGCAAACCTCTAAGATTCCCAATACTGTCAGGGATCACTCCTGACATGGCATTTCTGCTCAAGGATAGTGCTTGCAGGCTCCGGCACTGCCCTATCGAGAGTGGGATACTGCTGTTGAGTAAATTGTCTGAGAGGTCAATGGCGATGATATTCTCTAGCTGGCCGATGGTCTCACTTAATGCTCCAGAAAGTGAATTATGTGACAGATTAAGAACAGAACTAAGGCTCCTGAGTGCAAAGAGGGAGGCAGGAATGTCCCCATGGAGTTTGTTGCTTGATATATCCAGCAAAAGAACACGTTGGAGGAGACCCAACTCGTCTGGGATTCTACCAACCAACTCATTCTTGCTCATCTCTAGTCTTGTGAGTGCAGTAAGGTGCCCAATCTCCGCTGGGAGTAGCCCTGATAGTTTGTTCCCGGCAAGCCCAAGCGCTGTCAGCTGGCTGAGACGACCTATCTCTGATGGGATACTCCCAGAGAGTTGGTTGTAACTCATGTTGAGCAATGTTAAGGATGTTAAACTTCCTACGGCCGGCGGTATTCGACCATTTATCCGGTTGCCACCAAGGTATAGCTTTACAAGGGAACTTGACAGGTTGCCAAATGAAGCAGGCAGTGATCCCTCGATGAGATTCTCATCGAGGGCGATTAATTGCAGGTTAGTGCAGTTTGTTAGGTCTGTAATGATGGCTGTGGTGTCTGATATGTGGTTGAAGCCAATGTTGTACATGACAAGATTATGGAGTCTGTTAAGACCCGGTGGCACTGAGCCGGTAAACAGGTTGTTGGACATCCTTATGCTCTCAATCTTGGTCACGTTGTGGAGGGACGGTGGGATCGGACCACTGAACTTGTTGAAGCAAGTGTGGAACACACTTAGGTTTGGGAGCCGAAAACCAATATCACTCGGAATCTCACCATGAAGGTCATTCTTTGCAAATGCAAAGAAAACAAGCATAGAGCGATTGTAAAGTTGCATGGGAACCATGCCTTTTAGGTTGTTTATGGAGAGCTGCAGGTGCTGGATATGATCCAGTCCGCCCATTGCTTCGGGCATTTTACCGGTGAGGTTGTTTGTATTGACATCAAGATTGCTTAGCAGTGACAGGTTACCAATTGATGAGGGAATACTGCCATCTAGCTGGTTCTTCCCCATGTTTAGGATCCGAAGCTTCCGAAGAAGATGGATGGATGCAGGGATTCCACCAGAAATGACGTTCCCCGACAAATCGATGGTCATGAGACCAGTGCAGTTTGTGAAAGCCGGGGGAATGGTTCCGGTAAGAAGGTTGCTGCTAAGATTTAGCATTTGGAGCTGACGAAGCCTACCGAGATGGTTAGGAATGTTACCGGCAAAGTGATTCTCCTGTAAGTACAGGGAACGTAGAGCTGTGAGATTGCCAATGTGAGGGCTAATAGTTCCAACCAAGTTGAGGTCCCTGAGATCCAGCTCTGTGACCCTGCCACCTTGTTTAGATTTGCACGTCACCCCTGTCCATGTGCACTCCGACGAGCCATTCCCCCATGATGATAGCGCCCCTGAGGGGTCACTGGTGATGAAGGATTTCAAATCAAGGAGAGCCTCTCGGTCCTCGTTATTGCTGCTTGGAGTTGTTTGACAGGAACCCAAGAGTAAAATAGTAGATATGACCACGAAGAGAAGCAGCAGATGGACATAGATTCTCATCTTGAGCTCGATATATATCTGCACGACTGCACGCAGAGGCAGACAATACAGAGCAGATGACAGACTGATCAGCGAAAGGGGTTAGTTCAGAAATTAAGATACTAATAAGAACTCTAAAAAGGAGACGGGATGCCACACCTGCAGATACTTTGCAGAAAGAAGCTCCTGCCTGTAAGAAGCGGCTTTGAAAATGTGAAGGATGCTGGACTATGTCATTACCTATGTGTTTGGCACTGTTGCTCTTGCCTATTAAATACTATTAGTGGTCAACCCATGCAGTCATGCCGCATGTGTCATTAGTTGAAAGTTGAAACCATGACAGGTTTGACGGAGTCATTGCTTATTGTGCTTCTTGAAATTAGTATATGAGTAATGAGTTAGTTTATGTTATGTGTCGGCTAGTGTATGTTATGTGATGGGATGTCAGAATATATTAACATATATAAGAATTTAATTAAAAATAAATGAACTTAAATAGGAAAACAATACATAGTAAAAAAATCTAAACAAGGATAAACAATGACCAGATGGGTCTGAGGCAAAACGACTACCTTTGTTAATCATTTACCACATGTATCCTAATGAGATCACTCTGTTAATCGACTATGTACAGAGGCAATCATCTTAGGATGACCGTCTTTGTTAATCAATTAACACGGTGGACTTTTTAAGATGCCCATATAAAAAAAATGGCTATTCACAAATACATGCATTATAAAAGTGCATCTCTAGAAATTGCTTAATAAAGGTGGCACTCTAAAGATGCTCGCCTTTAGAAATAGTTATATAAAAAATAAACCATAACCGTTTGAAATTTTTTTTGGATGAAGACAATATATCAAACTTGTTGAGGATGATCTGATTTAAACTTTGTAGTTAATAATTTTTTCATTTGAAATTTTTTAGAGTCCAAAAAATCGCTCTAAATTCTTAAATTGAAATTTAAAATTCAGTTTTTTTCAAATAATTGAAATTTAAAATTTAGAATTTTCAAATAATCTCGGATGTTCGCGTGGTCTATAACAAATTAGTTATAGTTCGAACTACAATATACAACTTTGTATGTAATAATTTTGTTATTTAAAATTATTTATCGTCCCAAATATGTGTTTTAAGTTCTTAGATTTTGAAATTCAAAATTTAAAATTTTCTAACGGTCTTGAATGTTCACATAGTTAATACCAAAGTTGCAGTCATCTACCCCATCTACACGTTTCTAGTTGATAAGTTTTTTATTTAAAGTTTTTTGGAGTCCCAAATATTTATTTTAATTTCTCATGTTTTGAAATTTAAATTTTTAAAAAATTTAAGCGGTCTCAAATGGAGACACGTCCTGTACCAAAGTTGTTGTGCAGGAAACGATTTATTATAATTTTGCAGTTGAAACTCTTTTATTTGAAATTATTTAGTAGACAAAATGTACAATACAAAATTATAATATTAATAAAAAATATAGCATGCCATATGTATTTAAAAATGATTGTTTAGTAGAGACCATTTGACTGAGGCACTTGGTCCGTTTTTTTTTTTTGGAACCACTGAGGCAGTTGGTCTATCTACCGTAAAAGTACTTTTGGTAGTAATGTATGATTTTTATTTTTATTATCTCTTGTCCCTAATCCATCCGATCAGATAAATGGCGTTCGGACCTGAGGCCGGGACCAGTTCAATTCATGAAGGCAGGTCACGAGGTAACATCAAGTAGGCAGTATTTTTTTCTATAGTATATTCTTAAATCATTTAAACTTATGATATTTTTAATTTTATGGGTATTTTGTAATATAATTCTATGTATATAGCTTAATTACATGTTTTAAAAATGAATAGTTTAAAATTTAATGATGTTTGTAATTCTAAGATTCAACTAAATCATGTCCTGCCATCAGTTGTCAATTTGAAAAGTCATAAGAGAGACTTTGTCAACAGTGACTATATCTACGTAACCAAGACTTACCCGAGAGTCAATTCATCGTTACACGACGGGGCAGACCGAGCGGAATGGATGGGCGGACGTATGGAGTCGGCTGAAAAGGTCACTACTAGATAACAGACTTTAGAACGATGTCCTAATTTAGTATTAGCCTCGATATTTTTTTGCTTCCGGGATTAAAGGACCCTTTAGTCCCGGTTGGTAATACCAACCGAAACTAAAGGTCCCTCGCCTAACGGTCGTCTCATGAGGCAGGGATCTTTAGTCCCGGCTGGTATTACCAACCGACTAAAGCTTTTAGTCCCGGTTTGGGTTATGCCCCGGGAATAAAGATTAATCTTTAGTCCCGGTTTGGACCCCTAACCGGGACTAATTATCCCGGCCTATAATTCTGCTCAATTCTTCCTCCCCGAGCCCGAGCCATTCCATTATTCAAACTCACTGCCTCTGTTCTTCAGCTTGCTGTTGTTCTTGCACTCTCCCCCTCCATTGGTGTTGCTCTTGGATTTTGGAGGTAACAAACTTAATCCTCTTATGTTTTATCAGTAGCTTATCTCATTTTGCGATGTAGATGCATGTGTAACTTTATATGTTGGACTTTATTATGATTTTATATGTCATTTTTAGCTCAAAATCACATGATGATTTGCATATATGTTTGGATAAACAAAAGTTAAATTAGTTCATCAAAATCACGCCTCGCTCGTCTCCTCATTTGGAGCACGCGCCATTCTCGCCCCCGGTGGCTTACGTGATCTTAGAATTAATTTTTCCATGAAATGAAAAACTTAGAAAATTGTTAGAAAATTGTAGAAAATCCGTACTAGTTGAACTTGCGGACCGTGTTCAGCTCGGCAAGCATGTTCTCTGCCGAGCGGTAACGGACGTCAAGGAGGAGCTTTGATTCTACGAGGGAGAGCGGCAACGGTCGTGGAAGACCGTGTTCCCTTTCTCATAGAATCGGAGCTCTTCCTTGGCCAAGTACGGTGCCGTCCGGTGGAGAAATGCTCGCCGAGATGATCACGTAAGCAAGGTCAACTAGTACGGATGGTTATTTATTGAAACATGTTTTTGAGCTATAATTTGATGGATATTTGAAAATATGAAATTTACACTAGTTTGCAAAAATAAGTATAGAAAGTAGATGACAATCATTATGGATCCTCGGCCTCTCGCTCGGTTCTATGAACGATCGAGGCCGAACTCCCTCTCATTATCTGCGGCAAGTGTAAGCAGAAGATTGTGATGGAGTACCGAGTCAAGAGACAGGGACCCAACAAGGGTCGTGTTTTCTACAAGTGCCCGGATCGCGATGTGAGTTTCTTACGCATTTTATAATTATGGCTAATTGACCTGCTTTTCTTGAATATTTTTGACTAAATATTTTTTGGCTTTAATTTCAAAGTGGGAGGGCAATGGATGCGATGGTTGGTCTTGGGAGGAAGATTATGCTACATACGTGCAGAATTTGGGTGCGCTTGAGGTAGCGGTTGCTGCCGATGAGGCAAATGAGCCAAATAGGAGAAGCTTATTGATATTCAATGGAAGAATGATTTGTCTGCATTTTAGTGGCGTCACGATCACAAAATAATTATGTTTCTTGAAGTGCATTGTAGTTTTAGTTTGTTTAGTGATAGTTGGGATTGCTTACGTTGTAGCCGAGCTTAGTTAATTAATCAACCGTGTGTGTGTCATTTATGTTGTGTAATAAAATACTTAATTATGTTCAAGGTTTTTATAATTTGTCGGTAATACTGATTATGTCACGCCATTGGATGTACAATGCCGATCGCCCGCTCCCAAGACTTTATAGAGGGCTTGCACTATTTCTTAGGTGTGGCCGAGGCAAATAAGCGAGATGGTTTCATATGCTGTCCATGTGCCCTATGTAAGAATTTAAAGGAATATTCAAGCTCAATGAGTCTTCATTCACATTTGCTTAAGTCAGATTTCATGTCAAACTATATATGTTGGACTAAGCATGGAGAAAGCGGGGTCATGATGGAATAAGGTGAAGGAGAAGATTTAAACATTGATGACATTATTGCTCAGTATGGTGCCTTTGATGATACTACAATGGGCGGAGATGAAGAAGAGGTAGCGGTAGAAGATGATCTCGGTGATGCTCTTGGCGATGCCATTCGTGATGCACAACAAGAATGGGAAAGTGAAAAAGAGAAAGTTAAGTTGGAGCGCATGCTTGAGGATCATAGGAAGTTGCTATACCCGACGGCGAAGAGGGGCAAAAAAGCTGGGTACAACACTTTGGAATTGCTACTGATTGGAAGGCAAAGAATGGTGTATCCGATAAGGCATTTGGGAATTTATTAAACCTTATAAAGAAGATGCTTCCGAAGCCAAATGAATTGCCCACCACTACGCATTGAAAGCAAAAAGATTATCCGCCCTTTGGGATTAAAAATCCGTAAGATACATGCATGTCCTAATGATCGTATCCTCTACCATGGCAATGAATACGAGAATTTGGATGAATGCCGGTATGTAAAGCATCGCGATATAAGATCAAAGCGTGATGATCCCGGTGACGTCGAGGGTGAACAACGTCCTAGAAAGAAAATCCCTGCCAAGGTTATGTGGTATGCTCCTATAATACCACGCTTAAAACGTTTGTTCAGAAATAAAGACCATGCAAAGTTGTTGCGGTGGTATAAAGAAGACCGTAAGGTAGACAATATGCTGAGACACCCAGCTGATGGGTCCCAGTGGAGAGCGATAGACAGAGAATTTTCAGAGTTTGCAAATGAGGCTAGAAACTTAAGGTTCGCTTAAGTACAGATGGTATGAATCCTTTTGGACAGCAGAGCACTAGTCATAGCACTTGGCCGTTACTCTATGTATCTACAACCTTCCTCCATGGTTATGCATGAAGCGGAAGTTCATTATGATGCCGATCCTCATCCAAGGTCCGAGGCAACCTGGCAACGATATTGATGTATATCTAAAGCCATTAGTTGAAGAACTTCTAGTTTTATGGAACAAACCAGGTGTACGTGTCTGGGATGAGTACAAACAAGAACACTTTGACCTACGAGCAATGTTGTTCGTAACC